TAAATGTGAAATGACTGTAAACAAATGTGGCTGTTTATTCCTGAGTCTGCAGGCAGCCTGAAACAATGTCTGTAGTGTGAACTGCTCCCTTTATGTTGAACTGTGTAAGAACTTTGATACGAATGGATGATGATTTAAGCAGCCTTTGTTAACCCTTTCACTTCTAATCATTTTAGAAGAAACACCTTGCTTAATTGCTTATCCCACAATCCCAAACCATCTCATACCCTTGCCGAGGTACCAAAACTGTCCCCTTTCTAGCTGATCAAACCTCCAGCTTTCCTGCTTGGCAATTCTGTAATACTGTTCTTTCTAAATGTCATTCTGCAGCACAATGAAAAATTATTAGGAATAGATTAAAAGTGATATTAAATATGTATAAATGTTACACTGACTGCACTAATCTTTCCTATTCCATTTAATGAAAAAAATTATCTGAAACTACTTCAAAAGTAGAAGCCTGCTCCACTGGAATAGAGTAGAAACCAGGGGCCTTACCACACTATTAATATCAGCTTTTCCACTGAGCACGGGGCCTTGTCTATAACCATCTCTAAATACAGTGTGACTCAAGTAATAAAGATATCAATCCTGTATCAGCTCACTGTTTAGAGTAAAAAACATACACATAAAAAGTTTTGATTTTTGACATTCTGAATGACTTGCTTTTGTTTCCTAGCTGAGGTTCGATTAGGCATGGGCCATTGCTTCGTGAAACTGAACAAGTTGGAAAAAGCTCGTCTGGCATTCAGCAGGGCTCTGGAGCTCAATTCGAAATGTGTAGGGGCTTTGGTTGGATTGGCTGTTCTAGAGCTCAATAACAAAGAGGTGGGTGTGAGCTGGGATGGGGAGAATGTGAAGTGCTGTATTGGGTTTCTAGTTAAACAGTGAGCCTCACAACAGTCTGAAAATCATTTGTTTTTTTAATTTTATATATATTTAATAAACAATCACTGAATCACTTATTCTTATTCACTGAATCATGGTATTGCAATTCTGAATAGTTATGAAGAGTGCAAATTAAATAATGCTAATCTCTCGTGCGCTTATTAAATACAAGCAGCTCTAAGAAGTGATATGTACACTAAGTGATATGAATTCAAAACTATAGTGGTGTGTTAAATATATATGTGTATGTGTGTATTTATTTATTTAACATCGAATAATAAACTGTGCCCATGTACGCAGTCTGAGAACATTGCTAATGGTTTGAAATTTGTCCTTAATTGTGGAACTTTAATCAGTTCACCACCTTCAATAAGCAGCCCCTCTAAATACAAATAACTCTGCAACACATTGGCCAGTGTTGCATTCTTCCCTTACCCTCTTCTTTAAAGGCCAGACATTAAAAACAAGTCCTTTATCATCCTCTGAAAGTCTGCATATCTCAAGTAAAATTGGTCTGGTATAGAAGGACACTTTAGGGAGAATGCTATACGAGTAGCCCCCTCACCATTGTATCAAGGAGTAATCTACTGTCTGTGTCTCCACTGATTGCAGTTGTAGCAGAGTGTCTTGGTAAGAAAGGCAGTCTCTCAGGTGGCCTGATCCCAGGCTATTCAGACTTCATAAGTCCAAACCAACACCTTAACATCTGTCTGAAGTTTGCATGTAACTAGTGTAGATTCAGGAGTACAGGTGTCACATGGAACTTGTCCACAGTAAAAGGTTTGACACTTTAACCATATTGGCAAAACCCTCCTGTGTTGATAAAAGAACAGGAGTACTTGTGGCACCTTAGAGACTAACAAATTTATTTGAGCATAAGCTTTCGTGGGCTACAGCCCACTTCTTCTATATGTTCCAGTCTATGAATCCGAAGAAGTGGGCTGTAGCCCACGAAAGCTTATGCTCAAATAAATTTGTTAGTCTCTAAGGTGCCACAAGTACTCCTGTTCTTTTATCAACACAGGAGGGTTTTTGCCTATCTATCTATCTATACACACACAGAGACCATGAAAAGGTGGGAGTTGTCTTACCAACTCTGAGAGGCCAATTAAGTAAGAGAGAAAACTTTTGAAACCTGTGTTGATATACTTTTACACTGGTAGAACTGCATGTACTAATTATTCCATTTTGGCAAAGCAAAATGAGCTAAAGTGGTATACATGCATCTACACAAGGGCTGTTACCCAAATAACAGCATCAGTAAAAATTACACTCTTTGCCAACATAGTTATGCCAATAGAACTTTTTGAGTGTAGACCAGGCCTTGCTCTCTATTGGACACCCTACTTACTAAACAGGTGACCACCTTCTGCATTGTTTCTAGCTTTCATATAAATTTAAGATGTAGCCTCATGTAGAGTGCATTGAAAATACAAATAGTAATTCTATTTCTGTATGGTTTTTCCTTTTGCATCCTTTCAAACCTGCATTTGAACATTTAACTTTATGTACAGTATAAATAAACATATATGGAAATGAGAGAATTTACATTGCTAAAATTATAGAACCAAACCAAAAAGTTCTAAAACCTGAGATCATAAATGATTCATTAAACGAAGTTCACAGGGATATTACTATGATAGCTTTGGAAAAGCCCTATATATTTTTGGACTGTAAAACACTTTCACTTCTATTGCACCTTCCATCTGATTGTTGGAAAGCATTTCATGAATATTAATCCTTTCAGTTAGGTATTTTACCCTTTTTATGATGGCTAAACTGAGATGTAGATGCTAAATGAGTTGCCAGAAATTACACATTGAGTCAATGACAGAGAAGAAAATAGAATTAGAGATAAGATTTCTTCTCTATGACAATTTCACATTTGTGCCAGCTTGTAAGTTACTGTACTTGTCATGGGTTCTGACTTGCAGTAAAGTTTGGGTTTGTATTCAGGAAAACTAAATTATTGCAAATTAAGAGATCCCTTTGGAAGGGAATGATGTTTATTTTTTAAAAGGCAGACTATAAAAAGCAAATGCTTATCTAATATTTTATAGTGTAGTAGTGCTCAAAGTCCCTAGTTGAGATTGGAGCTCCAGTGTGCTAGTTGCTGTACAAAGGCATAGGAACACATGGCCAGAGCTTGCGCATTAGAGAGAAAAACCTATAGTGTGGGAAAAGGGGTACAACATATTAACAAAATAATCAAGATGAGGATGAGCATACATGGTGTTTCTTCTTTTAGTAATTGTGGCCAGAGTGGGGATGAAAGGGAATGTTGGGGATGGGTGGGGGAGTAAATAGGAACAAGGTAGTTGAGTATGAGGAAAGGTACCATAGTGGGCAGAGGAAGTCCAGCCATGAGAGGATCTGTGAGGAGGTAGGGGGAAACCTCCACCTCAGGAAGTCCTGTTCCCCTTTCTCCCACCCATGAAAGGGCTCATTACTCTCTGTTGTGAATCTGGGGGGAGTAAAGAGGTTCTGGCTGGAGCTCTGTCTGTCCTGATGCTTCTTCTGGCCATCAATGGGTAGGCCCTTCTGAGCCACAGTTCCTGGGACTTGTGAGAAGAATAGCTCTGAAGATGTTATATTGAGGAAATACGTTGAAATATAGTGCTAATATCTATCAATATTTCATCTAGGCTGATTCTATCAAAAATGGTGTTCAACTCCTTTCTAGAGCTTACACAATTGATCCCAGTAACCCAATGGTGCTGAACCACTTGGCTAATCACTTCTTCTTCAAAAAGGTAAGAAAATACATGAATGTAAAATTCCATAACCTTCTGAACAGTAACAGTGTCAAACTCATTACTGCTTCTGCCTTCCAAAAATCATTTTAAATCCTGCATTTTGAGGGGTATTAAAGTACAGCTGTTAAAAGAATAAGTTTTACCCATCATGTGACTTTCATGAGGCCAAAGGGTAAGAATAAATTTTTTATTATAGGCAGACAAGTGTAAAGTTTCAATTTTTAAATTCCTTATTACTTTTTTTCTCAAGACTGCCAAGAAAGCGCACACACTTTTTTCTTAATTTAAACCTACCTATGTTTCCTGAAGACATTTATTTTCTGCTACTTTTAAAACTGGGGTATAGAGAAAAGAACAGTAACTTGTAAAACTAAATCTACTGATGTTAACTTACCAAATTCTACTGCTTATGTTTGTCTGCATTAATCAGTCCAGGCCTGATGTTTAAGAAATGTATAAACTTCACCATAAATGGGTTGGGATTTTTCAAACTGAGTTTTATTTTCATCATTCAGGATTATGGTAAAGTCCAGCACTTGGCTCTCCATGCTTTCCATAATACAGAAGTTGAAGCTATGCAGGCAGAGAGTTGCTACCAGCTGGCCCGGTCTTTTCACGTACAGGTAGAATTAATTTTAAAAAATCCTCTTCTAAATTTAGAACATTGTAATATTCAAATGTGTTCAAGATTTTTAAAAAACAATCCATCTGCTTTTTTTCCTCCTTGTTTTTTTTTAAATTAGGAAGATTATGACCAAGCTTTCCAATACTACTACCAAGCCACACAGTTTGCCTCATCCTCTTTTGTATTACCATTTTTTGGATTGGGTCAAATGTACATTTATCGGGGGGACAAGGAGAATGCATCACAATGCTTTGAAAAAGTTTTGAAAGCCTACCCTAACAATTATGAGACTATGAAAATCCTTGGATCTCTTTATGCTGCTTCAGAAGACCAAGACAAACGAGATATTGCAAAAGTATGTTCAAATATTTATTTGCTGAACTTTGGATCTCAGTGTTACCTGTTTGATGACCTTGACTGTATGTCACTCCAGCTGATGCCTCATTCATGCATCCAAGGGAAAAGTTTGTCCCTGAAATCTGAGTTATGGTATCACTAAAAATCAGGTTTACTTTGCTGTGAAAATAGAACTGGGTGTGTAATAGTTTTAGTAGGTCAATCACTTTTCTGAATGGCAGATGTTATTAATTGCAGAGGAAGTAATGTCATCTGAACAGAAGTGGGACCACACTAGGAGACCTGTTAACCAAAGCTAACAAAACCATTCTGTTTTCTGTTGCATATGGAAAAACACTTGTTTTCCTCTGCACAAAAACGGTAATTTGCCTATAAATGACAACTTGATGATCACATTTCTGGGAATATTCTTGTCCTCCCAGTTTAACATTCTAAAAGGACATTGTCACATACTAATACAACATTTTTTTAAAATTTAAGTCTGTTTACTATTTCTGATGCTTAGATCTTTTCCTACTGATTTTCTTTGCATTTAGTCAGCACTGCTTTTCCCTCAAGTTTTGAATGGCAGTGTGTTAACATGGTTTGGTTTACTGATCAGTAATTTAACAGTATAGAATGCCTCTCTATCATGACATACTATCTTTTTGGTAGGGAACACAGACATTTCCCAGAGCTGAGCTTTAATGAAAACAGACAAGCATAACATTGGGACTGAACTGAAAATAAGTTTCATGGCAAATCAGTCTAATTTCTCAGTTATTTGAATGTGGTAATTTTGAAGAAGTTTGTATTCCTCCTGAATATTTAGAACCCTAAGGGCTTTCCCCATATCTTACTAAATGCAGGGAGGAGGGAATACATGGTGTTGAGTTAAGTGATGATGAACTAGGTTGGCTTTGTTGCCTAACGTGCTCAGTCATATGCATACATTTGAGGTTTTATATCTTTACAGAAGAAAAATGTACTGCTTTAAAGCATAAACACGTTGAAAAACCAACTCTGGTGCCTTTTTTGACAGTTTATATTAATCTTTTGAGTGCATAAGTAATGTTTGGTTTTTCTCAGGGTCACTTGAAGAAAGTCACAGAACAGTATCCAGATGACGTAGAAGCGTGGATTGAACTAGCGCAAATCCTTGAGCAGACTGACATACAGGTATTAATGCTGTAAAATGGAGACATTGTAGAACGTATACACTTGGTTTAAGTTACAAAGTGATGCATAGAACTCATCCTGCTACTTCCTTCCCACCTCTTCAATCTTACAATTGCACAGGGTGCCCTCTCAGCCTATGGAACAGCAACACGCATCCTTCAGGAGAAAGTGCAGGCTGATGTCCCACCAGAGATTTTGAATAATGTGGGTGCTCTCCATTTTAGGCTTGGAAACCTAGGTGAAGCAAAGGTACTAAACCACATTACTACTTTTTAGATAACCTAATTTTAAGAAATTATCCAGAGTCTGAGTTTAAATTATTTAATCATCCAAGCATTCTGTTCCTCTCTTTTTATTTTGTCCTTAGAAATACTTTTTGGCATCTCTGGATCGTGCTAAGGCAGAAGCTGAACATGATGAGCATTACTACAATGCTATCTCAGTAACAACGTCCTATAATCTTGCCAGATTATATGAGGCAATGTGTGAATTCCATGAAGCAGAAAAGCTATATAAAAACATTTTAAGAGAACATCCTAACTATGTTGACTGTAAGAAATTCTTCTATTTTGGTTCAACAATCCTCTTCAAACTGAAAGATTTTTGTAGTGAGGCCCTCATCTGCCCCTTTGTATTGTTTGAGATTTTTGTTTTATAACAGACTTCAGGAGGCTGAGCGATTGTCTTGTGTAACCGATGTATCCTTCTTTCTTTGAAATTTTCTTTCTTGTATTCGGTGCATAGCTCATAAGTCAAATCAGAGTGTTTTCAATTTTTAACTATTTTTATTAACACTTGCACAAGATATAGTCAGAGATAGAATAAGCTTTCCAACTCAAAAGATATTCTCCAGCATTTAAATAAAAATCATATGTAATGTGTGTCTATATATAGAAATAAAAATATAGAATATATTTAATTGCTTGATAACCTAAACGTATCAGGAAAAAAACAGTTTGTGAAATCCATGCCTGACCCAATTTATTCTATTTGAGCTGATTATGTAAAATCATTTTCTGTTTTTAGGCTATTTGCGCTTAGGAGCTATGGCTAGAGATAAAGGCAATTTTTATGAGGCTTCTGATTGGTTTAAAGAAGCACTTCAAATAAATCAGGTTAGTGAGACTCTTAAATATTTAATTTAGAACTAAAATTTCAAATTGGATTCACTGGATTACCATCTTTCTCTTTTTTTATGAATATATGCAAGTTATCCAAAGTAGTCCTTTCTTCTAGTTAACTTCCTCTGCTCTGTTTTCTGTATATAAAAATGTAGTTTATTTCCATATAATACAAGTGTAATAATACAATGATTAAGGCTTGTATTTAGATGTCTAACACAGATAAGTGAAAGCAGTCCTTAAGTTACTTACAATGGAGTTTGTTTCAGGACCATCCAGATGCTTGGTCTTTAATTGGTAATCTTCACTTGGCTAAACAAGAGTGGGGTCCAGGACAGAAGAAATTTGAAAGGATATTGAAACAACCATCCACACAAAATGACACTTACTCCATGCTGGCTCTTGGTAATGTCTGGTTGCAAACTTTGCATCAGCCCACCAGGGATAGAGAGAAGGTAAATTTCACATCTGTTGAAGTGCATTGATATGCCCTCCCTGGCGCAAGTATTTTATGTTGTATGGCAAGTTCATCAGTTGTAAAATATTAGGTGCACTGTGTCACCAAACAGATGAATGATTGATTAATCTTTTTCTTATTCACGTTTGTAGGAAAAGCGCCATCAAGATCGTGCACTAGCAATCTACAAGCAAGTACTTAGAAATGATCCAAAGAATTTGTATGCTGCTAATGGCATAGGTGATTATTACACTTAAATTCCCTTTAGTAGTTTACTAGTGGTGGTTCTTGGATTTAGCTCTTTTTAGTATATAATCTGTAGAGCATTTCAAGCATTTTTGTTTTTTGCAGGGACTATACATTACTGATCTCTGGAGGAATGTCTTGCTATATCATGCAGTTAATTGTCTCCATTTTCTGTTAACATTCTGGTAACTTTTATAGTATTTAGACCTGGAAGCTTACACTGTACATTTAACTTTCCCTTTAGGAGCTGTATTGGCACACAAAGGATATTTCCGTGAGGCTCGTGATGTTTTTGCCCAAGTGAGAGAGGCAACAGCAGATATCAGTGATGTGTGGCTGAATTTGGCACACATCTACGTAGAACAGAAGCAGTACATCAGTGCTGTGCAGATGGTAACCTCTAAGTTGAACCATTTAAAATATTGGAATGAGGTAGCAAAGGAATAGCTAGAGGTCGTTGCTAGCAGCTTCAGCTATTCTGAATAATATTCTGTTTTAACAAATTATGGTCCTATTCAAAATAAAATAAGTCCTTTTAGCTGCCAGGTTATGTCTAGATTTAGAAGTGAACTGCCAGCTGTGGACAAGAGTAACAAAGGATCTATCAACTTGTACATTTATCTTTTCTATGCTGTCCTAAGTAGAGTTAAGATATAAATAGATTAGAGTTTTGGTCTACTAGGAGGCATTTTTGATTGTGTGTAGTTCAGTCAACACAGTCACTTTGTCATTTATAAGAGAACCTTACTGAAGTAGATAAGTACAATTTGCTGTCTTTCCTTCATGGCAAAGTTTTGTAATCATGGCCCAGAGTGACTACTTACGTGTATATAACACACTTTCAAAACTACCAAGAAAATGTTTATAACTTCATCATCGCCCTTTCAACACACACATAGTTGATCCTACCAACTATTTGGGCTGAATCCACAAACTCAAGAGTTATACTAAATAATTAAGAGAGAAAATGCCTTTTGTATACTGGGATCTGGTAAACTATGGCCTAAACAAAATTGTTTCCAAAGAAACATCCATCCGCTAGAAAACTGCTACTGTAAAACATGTGCCCTACAAGTCAAACTTAAAATAACAAAAACAAACAAAACTCAACTGAATGATATTTTGGAGACAAGCTCAGAACAAACGAAAAAACATTATTAGAGACATGGAAATAGAACCCTCCTTAAATTGTGTGTACATGGGCCTTAGAATAAACACACCCCGGAGCTTCAGAATGGCTATAAAAGCATTACAAGAAACAGCGATGCCATATGGTTTCATAGTTGTTATGCCGTAAAAAACCTACTAGATACACTCCTCCATTGAAACTACTGATAAAACTATTTGATAGCAATAGGAGTCAAATTATACTATATGAAAGTGAAGTCGCAAGTCTATTGTAACAGCCAATTGCATTGTTTGGGACAAAAATCTTAATAGAAACCTTACTTCAACATTTTTGCAGGTATTCTATGAGTACTAGAACTCCAGGGACAAACTGGGGGGGGGGGGTGTCACTTACCCATATCCTTCTGACATGCAGAAAAGAAGGCAAAACTTAAGAGCAGCACAGCAAAGAGTTCCTCCACTGCAAAACACAGAGAGATCAAAAGATCGTATCCAAATAGAAGTGCATTATCACTCTGTGGGCTTGCCAACGCAAACAATTCCACCCAGAACTAAAAATGCACCACATGTTAAGAGAGCACCAGTATTGGCGTCTATGGAAGAACAAATCAAATATAACAACTTAGCCTACTACAGCCACAAAATTATTGCAGTAGCTGACTCTCTACAGAAAATATGCAAAGCCGAGGTAACTTTCTCACCAAATATAGAATCCTTGGCCATAAACTACAAGTAGAAATTGAGAGACAAAGCACAGTACAACCCCAGAGGGTAGTGCTTCCTGCCAATTTAATAGAGATTGAGACAATTTCTACTCCAATATTCAAAATGTGAGGAAGTTCAAATCAAATAATTTTCCCACAAATGATCAGAAATGATGCAAGGCTTTTCAATAAAGAAAAGCAAAGAGAAACTGCATAATTTTTGGGTGCAGGGAAAAAGAGAAACGGCATGTTATGTGACAGCCTGCCACTGGATCAAGAAAAGGTGGTAATGACCAGTGGAAACTGAGAATAAAACCCTAAATGCAGCATGAAGCCCAGTTGTAGGCTGATTGTACCTGCATTACACTTCAGCAACACTTAGATAAGTTACTGTGCCAAAGAATATTGAGTTAGCTGGATAGAACTAGCTTGATAGGCATTTATTAAAACTGACTGTTCGTTTTTCCCCTTCACTATAACAGAACTTATAGTGAAGGGGCAGGTGGGGGTGTAAAAGAGGTACATCAAGTATATTTCAGGTTATGGTAGCAATACATATACATGAATAGAGAGAGAGAAAATGGGAATTTCAAATTTCATAACTTAAATGAACATGCTTATTACAACAATTCTTTTTCTTGCACAATTTGTACCCCTACCCTGATTACTGTAAATCAGTGATTCTCAACCTTTCCAGACTACTGTACCCTTTCAGGATTCTGATTTGTCTTGCCTACCCTAAGTTTCACCTCACTTAAAAAACTACTTGCTTACAAAATCAGACATAAAAATACAAAAGTGTCACCGCACACTATTACTGGAAAATTGCTCACTTTTTCATTTTTACCATATAATAAAATAAAATTATTGGAATATAAATACTGTACTTACATTTCAGCATGAGGGGTGAAAACATTATCTACTATAGAGGATTATAAAACAAGTCACTGTATGAAATTTTAAGTTAGTACTGACTTCGCTAGTGCTTTTTATGTAGCCTGTTGTAAAACCAGGCAAATATCTATATGAGTTGATGTACTCCCGGAAGACCTCAGTGTGCCCCCAGACAACCAACCACTGCTGTAAATAAATGGTATGTGCTTACAATGTTGTCCATTCCAAAATGCGTAGGATCCTATTGTATTAAGCTAAGGACTTGCAGGAATCCTGAGGGACCTACAAGTTTTTACAATAACTGGGAACTCAGAATGGTATACAGTAAACAAAGTGGAAGAGAGCCACGCAATATGATGTAATTATTTGAAACAAAAATAATAATCATGAAATATTCTATTTCATTAATAGAACCCAAGTTACTTGGAATTGTCTGCAATACAAAACTGTTACAAGAGTTCTTTAAAACTCCACTATCTCTCTTTTTTAGTAATTTGATCTCTCCATTTCAGTATGAAAACTGCCTCAGAAAGTTCTATAAGCATCAGAATACTGAAGTATTGTTGTACTTGGCCCGAGCACTCTTCAAATGTGGCAAATTACAGGAATGCAAACAGACTTTGCTGAAGGTAAAAATATGTATGTATATTGCGGTTATTAATGTACATTTAATTGCTTACCATCCATATGTCATTGATAACTTTCTGCGATTTAAAATATGTGCATTTCATTCACAGGCTAGACATGTAGCACCCAGTGATACAGTCCTTATGTTTAATGTGGCTCTAGTGCTACAGAGGCTAGCCACCTCTGTCCTGAAAGATGAAAAAAGTAACCTGAAGGAAGTACTAAATGCTGTGAAAGAACTGGAGTTAGCCCACAGGTAACAATATGCAGTAAAAAAAAGAAGTGTTTATGCTTTTTTTTTTTAATTGCTATAGTATGTTTTACCTAGTTATGTTAATAAAGAAAATACTTTCTTCTAGAAAATACTCAGTGTGTATCTTAAATTCCAATTTTGATACGAGTGAAAGTGTCTTCTGTAAAAATCTTGTGTTTTTTTTAAAAAAAAAAAGTTACATCTCTTTCAACATTCCTGGTTGAAAAACATCAGATGTAGAGAGCTTAAGCTTGAAGAAATGGAGCCCTGCCAATCTTTGCTCCAAATCCAATTTTGATGTCATATGTCCTGATAAGCTAATGAGTTAATCTCCAAAGAAGTTCTGTTTTTGTTTTATGTCTCCACCTTATGTAGTTCATTCTAGTGAGAGAAGATCACAATTGAAGGGGGCGGGGAAATCTAGCACAAACTGCTATTCACTAACTGAAAATAATAATTTTGGTTAAAATTTTCAACCAAAGCAGAAATTGTGAAAATAAAAAACAAAACAAACAAAACTACAGCTTTGGAGCCATTTCATGAGCTTGTTCAAGGTCTCTTAATTAATCAGACTTCATGAGTTATCTTACAAACTGTACATTTTTAATAAAGGAGTACTAAGTGTAATTAGATTAATCAAACTGTCAGCACTTGTGAGTGTAATCAGTTGAACATGCCATAGAAATTAAGGCTTAATTCAGTCCCTTGGTAACTAATGCTGGCCTTCCACAGCTTTCTTTTCTTCCTGCCCACTTTCCTGATGCAGACTCTGGTTGTAAAATCTTGGATGAAGTCATTTGTTTTATATCCTGGTTACCTGCCAACCTACTCCAGTCACAGATCTCAAGGAGTAGTTTACCTTAAATTCCAAAACACTGTGTGGCAGGCAAACTTTACTTTTTTGTTTGCTTGAACAAACCGCAGTGTGATTCTTCACTTTTGAGCTGTATACCTATCGAAGTGACTTGTTCAGTTACAGAAGTGAGAAGTTTATGTAGATAGCGATTTGGTTACAGGTATCAACCAATGTTACAAACTGAGTACTTTTTTACTAGTCCTGGCTTCGCTTTGCTACTGGACATCTCTAATTCTGATCTCATTCATAGTTACTAATCAATTGCCATTGAGTTTGCTCAGTCAGACCAACTAGAGGAAGGTCAGCCAGTCATATCGGCATGAGGGATTCTGATATACTTCCAAACAGTTTGTGCATCCAGGCTGATATTGCTGTCACTTGCTTTATATACTTAAGCATAATTCTGAAATGCGAGGCAAAGTTGCCTAGTAGATGTTCCTTTTCAAACTTCTATTATAGCAGGAATTTACTTCGTCTGAGCCCTTTTGCCCTATTTCCTCATTCATGCCCAGAAATATCTTGCTCCTAGTATTGACCAAAACACTTCCGCAGGATAAAGGCTTCTAATTATTTTGCTCACAAATAAAAAATAAAAAAAACCCTTTTATTTATACAAGCAATCACTTCAAAATTGTATTGCATGCTGTAATACAAAAATCCAGTCAAACAAATTTCCATTTAGAAATCCCTGTAAGAGAAGTCTGTAATCTCTTGAGGAAAATGGCTTGCATTACATAACTGAATTTGTCAGAATTGGTGTGGAATTTAAATTATCCTGCTTGGCTGTACTCATTAAAGTATTATGGTCCTTCTAGGATTACCCATAAATTAGCCAGATTTTTTTTTAAGTGGAGTTGATGCCCCAATCTGGGGGAATTCAGACTTCCAATACATTTCATTTTTGCTGCTGAATGTCTGTCAGGATAAACTTGAGGGTGGAATCTGAATCTTGTATCTCATATGAAAAAAATGTGGTTTTTTTTTTTTTTTTCCCCTCTGCAGTAGAATGCTAGGTCAGTCTAGCACAGAAAAAAAGTTCTACTATAGAAATCCTCTCAATCATAGAAAAGTAGGGCTGGAAGGGACCTCCCAAGTCATGAAGCCCAGCCCTCTGTGCTGAGGCAGAACCAAGTAAACCTAGACAACTTCTCAATCTGCAAGCAAGGATTTATCTTTTGAGGGGGTTGGGAAGTCTCTCTATTGCATGCCTTCCAGAAGCTATACCTATGGACCTCAAAACCTCTAAAGGTCTCTAGATCTATCCTCACTCATGTTCCTGCATCTTCTGAGATCTGTGCTTTGTCGAGAATATGTAAATTGGGTCAGGGTAGAGTTCTAGCAGGAAAAAAATATTCTTTTTCTATTTCCTCCCTTTCTCACTGCAGTTTCAATGGTCACCCCAGTCCAAAGTAGAATGGAAAACAGATAAGTGTGACTAGTCCCAAAAACATAGTTAGTCAGGAGCCAGTGGAGCAGGGTTTTAAAGACTCCCTCCTGTTGATGTCATCAGCAGAGGCTACGGATGGCAGGGTAGCAGGACTGGGTTATGCAGGTGCAGCAGAAGCAGATACTGAGATTCCTGGGAAAGCTAAGGCAAGACTGATCTGTAAGGGGGGGGGGGGGGGAGAGATTATTTTCAAGGCTGTCTCCAACAGAGCTCTCTATTTCTGAGACTTCAGTTTCTTTCTGTGTGAGAATTACAATACATAGGAATTACCTGACACATCTGTGTCTAGAAACTAGGCCTGTCTCCAGTATAGAAGCAAATAGAGAATTTGTATTTGACCCTCTATTAATGGGAGTTCTAAGCATAAATTTTTAAATTAAAAAGATCTAAGATTTGATTGTTAAATGTGGTTCTGTTTGAGTACTTTAAAATAGAATCGAACCAAGCCAACTGTGCTGAAAAGATGCTCTTTTTTTTTTTATTTTGCAATTGTTAGGGTGTTCACCTGAGTTATCACAGCCAAATTTCTATTTACCTACATTTTCCCAGTGGTTTCAATTGGCTGAAGTTTCTTTTTTTCATACTTCTTGTAAACAGTTTGATAGTGTCAGCAGCATTAGAAGACTGCCATGTTCCACTTTAAACATTTCTACACGCTGAGTGAATCAGTCCTTACACAAAGCCTGGAAAGTGTTTTATGACCTTTTTGGATTAAAGGTGGAAAAGAGCAATAATAATTGTAGTGATCATTTTAAGAATGTTTATTTTAGGGATATCAGACTTAAATTTTAATGGAGTGTTTAAGTAAAACAAAACAGGGAATATAAGATGAAATATGAAATGTCACTATTTCAATCTGCTTTTGTTTTTCATTTTCCCTTCAGATACTTCAGTTATTTAAGTAAAGTAGGAGATAAAATGAGATTTGATTTGGCTCTTGCTGCTACTGAAGCCAGGTAAAAATTATTCCTTTTTTTTTTTCTGATTAAAACAGAGTATTTTCCAGAACTAAACTCAGTTGTCGGTTTGTTATCATGGGGAGAATAGTGATAACTATAGATAAAAGAACAGGAGTACTTGTGGCACCTTAGAGACTAACAAATTTATTAGAGCATAAGCTTTCGTGGGCTACAACCCACTTCTTCGGATGCATATTGAGTGAAACATATATCGAGGAGATATATATACACACATACAGAGAGCATGAACAGGTGGGAGTTGTCTTACCAACTCTAAGAGGCCAATTAAGTAAGAGAAAAAAAACTTTTGAAGTGATAATCAGGGTAGCCAAGTACAGACAGTTTGATAAGAAGCAAGTGTGAGAATACTTACAAGGGGAGATAGATTCAATGTTTGTAATGGCTCAGCCATTCCCAATCCCTATTTAGCCCTGAGTTGATTGTGTCTAGTTTGCATATCAATTCCAGCTCAGCAGTCTCTCGTTGGAGTCTGTTTTTGAAGTTTTTCTGTTTTAAGATAGCCACCCGCAGGTCTGTCATAGAATGGCCAGACAGGTTAAAGTGTTCTCCCACTGGTTTTTGAGTATTATGATTCCTGATGTCAGATTTGTGTCCATTAATTCTTTTGCGTAGAGACTGTCCGGTTTGGCCAATGTACATGGCAGAGGGGCATTGTTGGCACATGATGGCATATATCACATTGGTAGACGTGCAGGTGCCACAAGTACTCCTGTTCTTTTTGCGGATACAGACTAACACGGCTGCTACTCTGAAAACTATAGATAAGGCTGTGTGAGCATTTCCATTAGAATTTCATTTTTTCAGTTGCTCATAATTTTCCAAAATTTACTGCTGAGAGGTTAGAACTCGCCAGGCCTGGTGTCTGCCCTCTGGTGGAATATTTGTTTGTAAGCTTGAGCAAAACGTTGTGAAAATGAGTTGTGGGTTTTTTTAATGGCAAACATTTTTCCCTTAAAAATAATTTATTTGATTTTTTTTTTTTTTAAAGGGGGCTTGGGATCAGAAAGATGAAATCTGGCAGCTAACTACCTTTCACTGAGAAGTGATTTTGAGTGCTCTGGTGAAACCAGTTATTTGAAGAGTTGTTAGGACTTCAGAATGAGTTCATGCAATCACAGTACTTTGGATGCAGCTTCTTAGCTTTTTTTACCAGCGCTCCAAGTTAAATAATATAGTACTGTGCATATGAGCCCATCTAGCTTAGGTGTGCAGTAAACAGATATCTGTAAGATGCACATTGAATGAAAAAAATCGGCTTTATTCATTGCACATCTTACAAATTCAGGCTTTTCACAGATTGTCGTGTGCAGACTACAGTACCAATAGAAGTTATAGGTATGTCTGAAATTGTGGGCAGAAAAATATTTTGCATTGTATTTGAGAAACTATTTGTGAACATATTAAAGGTCACTTCACAATGAACACTACTTTACAAGGGACTTGAACTGAGAGCACTTACTACTTCATTTCCTGATGTTTGAGCACTTAAGCCCAGATTTTTAGACAGGACTGCACTCAGCGTTGCCATGTCTGATTTAGTTAGGAGCCTAAGTCTCATTTTCAAATGTGATTTAGGGCACTTGAGAGCCTAAATCCCATTGATAGTCGATGGAATTTAGGCTCTAATGTGCCTAAATCACTTTGAGATTTAGTCCTAAATCAGTTTAAAAAAATCTGAGTCCTGAACATACAATCTTAACTTCTGAATATATTTTTGGATTAGGTTAATTAATTACAGCTGTTTAAATACAAAGTGCTTTTGTAAGGGGTATTTGTGGAGCTGCATGGCTGAGTTCAAGACTCTTCCTCTTTATATTAAGGATTTTTTCTTACTGAAGTAGCTAAACCTTTTAACAAACAAGGCAGCTTTGAGTAGCATTCTGTGTGGAAACATGTTCCTCAGGCTTAAATTAAAAAAGCTAGCTAGAAAATCCATATGTCTCAGAAGATGAATAATAAACTGAAGTAAAAGTCATACCACTGTAATGGATTTTAAAAGGAAAAATCTATGTTGAGTATAGAATTATTTAAACACTTCAGTTGTTACGTTACTTTAGATGGCTTGTATTTTGTTCAGTGGTATGGACAAATTTAGTATTGTGATGTAGGTTCTTTTTAGAACTATGTCTCCTTCTAGCATGTAGGATGTGCCTAGAAACTTACTTTCCTTTAATTGAAAACATTGACTGTTCTAGGCAATGCTCTGATTTACTGAGTCAAGCTCAGTATCATGTGGCTCGTGCACGCAAGCAGGATGAAGAAGAGAGAGAACTGCGTGCCAAGCAAGAACAAGAAAAGGAGTTGCTCCGCCAAAAACTGCTTAAAGAACAGGTTTATATTCCCTGTAGTACTCTGTGTTTTAAATGGGTGTGCTTGCCACCATAGCTCTGTGTTGATACCTAGAAACTGTTCAGGGAGTAATATTCAAGATGAATTTTTTAATGTAAGCACTTAAAGAGGGGGTTGAAAATTTAGGGATATGTAAAAAGGGGTGAAATTGTTTCCTCTATGGAGCCTGTTCATTCAGGCTTTGGGGAAGGAAAGGTGAAAGTGATATTTGGGAGAACAGAATTCACACACACACGCACCCCTCCCCCCCAAGCCATCCATAGTCACTGTGATCTATAAACTACACTAGCAGTAGCTGCTTCTCCATGCATCCAGTGCAGGGTCCTGATAATGGTCAGTTTATTCTGATTCTTTCAGGAAGAAAAACGTCTCCGAGAGAAAGAAGAACAGAAGAAACTTCTGGAACAAAGAGCCCAATATGTGGAGAAGACCAAGAATATTTTGATGTTCACTGGAGAAGTAGAAGGATCGAAGGAGAAGAAACGTGGTGGCGGAAGGGTACAGAATGGAGTTTTTTCCACACTTTTCTATAATTTAGAGTTACTCTGTGACCAGAGTTAAGACAGGCATTAATCAGCACCTGACATTTAGTGGGGCATTAGAGTGCTCATCAATGACATGCAGACACTTTTGGGATGGAAGGTAAATTTAATATATTGCTCCAAGAGTACAGTACCGAAAATAAATATTTTATCCAACAAATAGCAGCAGCGAGTGGAGTTATATATTCTAATATTCATCTTAAGAACCAGCTTCTTAGTGCTGAGTCTGTACAGATAATGGGACGGGGCATTACGGTGAAAAGTTTTATAGTCTCCATATGTTGACTGGTTTTCAGATTACAAATAATCTGGTATGGCGTGGGTTTTTAATTTATTGCAGCGTTCCAGAAAAGGAGGAGAATTTGATGAGTTTGTCAATGATGAGAGTGACGAAGATCTGCCTGTGTCCAGAAAGAAAAAGAGGAGGAAAGGCAGTGGTAGTGAACAAGATGGTGAAGAAGAAGATGGAGAGAGGAAGAAGAAAAAGAGGAGGAGGTAACTAAGTTTAAACTTTTTTGATTCTTTTTGTAACTCTGTAGTATCGGTTTAGAGTATACCTTACACAAGAGCCTGTAAATGGTGTTAGAATAAGACCAAGTAGATTTGCTTTTTTTCCCTCAAACAACTTTCTTTAAAAAAGAAAGTTCCCCGTTGTAAATGGCCATACACATCAGTTATAAAACGTAAATGTTAGCAAAATGCTAACTGTTCATATTCTTATAATACAAGAAATGTCAGGTTAACGCATTGATAGATTGACACTGTTGGAAATAATACACTGTTTATGCAGGAATTAAATATTAATTCTGACTTGATTTTTGTGTTTAAGACCCCAGAAAGGAGATGATGGAACTGATGATGAAGAAAATGAAAATGGCCCAAGACCTAAAAAACGACGTCCACCCAAAGCAGAGAGGAAAAAGGCTGTAAGTTTAAAAGTGTAATGCCTTGATAGTTCCTGTTTACATTTGGAAGATTACAGTGCGACTGCATTCAGTAAAGTGACATTTGCTGTAGGGGGAAGTATGGAAAATACTTCCTGCAGCAAACATGCATCATACTTTCCCCTCCTTTTATGTCTCCTAATATAGCAGTAGCTACAGGGATGCTTCTGAAGCGCTCCACTTCCATTTTGAAATCAGAACATAAATGCCAACCAGATGATTTATAAATGGATGCAGAAAACTAGACTTATTTCTAACAGCTATCTGTTATGTTAGAACAGCTGTACTTTAAGCTCTCAGTTATTGATATCAGTTTTACTCCAGTGAACAAGCAATATTACTTTGCATTTTTTCCCATACAGGCCAAGCCAGAACGTCTGCCTCCTTCAATGAAGGGAAAGATCAAATCAAAAGCCATAATTTCATCTAGTGAAGATTCTTCTGATGAGGATAAACTCAAAATTGCTGATGATGGGTATGAATCTTTATTGATTTTTGTACATTTTGAAAGTCAAATGCTGACTTTAACCTGATGGAAAAAGCTCTGAGATTGGCTTTCAACCTTTGCCATATTGGGACAACCCTTCCTAGTTAACTGACACCGTTCTCTAAATGAGCGATATGTAAAGGGCAGGTCATGACCCTTTGACATCCAGTCCCTCAGGTTGCAAACCCATGCTTGAAGATGATGATTAAAATAAAACTAAGTATATATTAGTCCCAAATCTAAATTGACATAACTGTAGGGTTGACACTCCTCAAATTAACAAACTAATTATTGTTAAACGGCCAAAAATTCAACAGTCATTACTTTGAAATACTGTGCCCAGAAAGTGTGTACTTTTGAGGTCTAAAAAACATTCTCAGTCAAAGCATATACTCATGTCTCCTTTGGTATTTCTGCTTCAGTGATGTCAGAGAAGTGGGGGGTTCCAATCTCAGCAAGTCAGGACTATCATGTTAGTCTAAATGGGTTCTTTGTGTTTCACCTTTCATTCTCTACTGTATTTCCTTGGTGATCCACACAGATTTGCCAAATGCCCTTTTTCATAGCCAAACTAGGAACCACTGCACTTGGGAAGATAGTGAGTACTGCACTATGATACAAGATACCATCTTCCTCCCTGAATTATTTGAGTGTCCTTTTCTTCTCTTCCTTCTCAGTGGGAGTGTCAACATCTCTGTGAAATCCAGGATTCTCGCTTGATCATAGTAAGCCAATGCTTGCGGCTTTAATAATTGATTATACTGCTTTTTTTTAAACAGAAATGCCAGGAACAGCAACAGTGATTCTGATGACGCTGAACAGCAGCGCAATAAACGCATCATGTCGGACAGCGATTCAGATAACAGAAACAAGTCTGGTAGTGAGGTAGGTAGTCCACGGAGGTCCAGTGCTCATCCATCTGATGAGGATTCTGACAGTGACAGGTCAGCCGGAAAGAAGAGACGGTCAGATTCAGAACAGTCTGACAATGAGTCTGTGCAATCTGGGAGAAGCCACTCTGTACAGTCGGGAAGAAGTCACTCTGGTGGCTCCGAGAATGAATCTCGTCCAGCTTCTCACAGTGGTGATTCAGACAGAGATTCTGATAGAGGATCTGACAACGAGGGCTCTGGCAGAGAGTCTGGCAATGAATCTGAACCAGAGGCATCCAACATTGAGGGGTCTGAACATGGATCAGAAGGTGGATCAGATGATAGCGATTAGATTTAAATTACAGCCATTTTTTAACAATTGTTTTTTAAATATACTTCAGTTATGAGGAGGAAAATCCAATTTTTATATTTGAAAACTGATTTAAAGAAAGCTTAATGTTTTAGTAAAACTGTTGTGAAACTTGCTTCATATGATTTTTTTTCTATCAAGCTGTACATTACTAGGCATTAATGGATATTTCTCTGTGTTGCTGTATATGGTGTATTTTTTACACTGAAGCTAACATAGCTGAAGATCACAGATGCTGTACAGTGAGTGGTAACAAACTCACACAATGAGGGCGGGGTGTATGTAAATGCTGCAGAACAAAAACACCAAGTTCAAAGAGTTGGTTAAAACTCTGGTGTATTTGTTCCATGTTTCTACATGCAAAAAAGGTACAGGCCAGTCTTCATGAGATCTTATTGAATGGTACAAAGAACTTTGGGTATTTATTTCTTTGTGTCATTCTGAATAGAGATCAATGCTGACGTTTTTTACTTTCTGTTAGAGGATACGTTTATTGTGACGCAACTCCGAAGGTTTGAAAAGTTTTCCTTCTTGTGCCTGCTTGTTTTCCTGATATACCAATTTAAAAAAATAAATAAAAAACAAAGATGCAGGTTTAAACAAAAGTTTATGAAATAACATTACAGGTATGTAGATAATATGCAAATATATTAAGTTGACAGGTGAAAAATAAAGATGTAGAAAACTTTCCGTATTCTTATATGGTAGAGTGAAAAGATCTGCCATTGTTGCAATAATAAAAAGTAGTTACTACCATCTGTTTTGGAGTGATCTATTTTACTTCATCCTTTTTTTAAAAATGCCTATCCCCGAACCCATCAGTAACAAAACAAACAAACTGCAATCTATTATGATGGTGGCAGCAGAAAATCTTGAAGTTCAGATGTCATTAAGAAAATTAAGTTTGCCAGCAATCAGACATTTAAGTTCATTTTTCATTTCTAATAGATGGCTCCACGTTCAAGAGTTTTAAAAACCCTCAATCTAGTACCGGCTGTACCATGTAACAAACCAAATTTGTATGTAGACACTAAAACCAGACTTTTCAATCTGCTACTCTAGTTGTTGTGGCAATGTTTCCCAAACTTCAGAGCTGAGCTATCATTTGGGAAAGGAAACCAATTTGATTCCCTAACGTCACCATGTATTAAAGGCCTACCCAAAATGAGCATTTACTCAAAGTATATTGTATAGAACTTCATAATATGAGACAATATCACCTGAGAGAGTTGCCGGGTCTAGGGTAATGTACTAAAATGGTTTCAGTCCTTTCTGGATGGATGTTCCAAACAAGTAGTGATAAGAAACTGCACCTTCACACTAGACTCCTCGTTTACGTTGTTCCACAAGGATCAGTTCTCTCTGGTCCTTTTTAACATCTACCTGCAGCCACTAGGTGAACTGGTCATATGATACTGACTCAAGTGCCAGCAATTTGCAGATAATACACTGCAGTACCTATCCTTCACCACATATAACAATACCACTACCACCAAGATGGCCCAGTGCTTGGATGAGAGCAGTTCTTGGATGAAAACCAGCTGGCAGAAGCAGAACTTGAGCAAGACAAGGGTGACGCTGGTGGGCAGAGGATGGTATCTGGAAGAGGTTGCAGACACGGTGCACTCTTGGTTGAAAATGGACACTCACGATTGGTCAATTCGGTCCATAGTGTTGGAGTACGCATGCATTCTTCACTGACGCTGAGCTCTCACATAGCAGCGTCACCAAGTAACATTCTACCATCTTAGTCTGGTGGACTAAGACCCTGGTCTCAGTTATTCATGCCTTCATCATCTCTCACCTGGATTACAGCAATGCAGTATACCAGGGTATAAAGTCTTCAGCACTTGGGGAAACTCCATCTAATACAGAATGCTGCAGCATGGTTCCTCAGCAACACAGGTTACTGCAAACACATCAGACCTGTCCTTTACACTCTATACTGGCTTTCCATAGAATCTCAAATCAAGTTTAAGGTCTTGGCCCCTATATTCAGAGCTCTCCAGGGCTTGAGCCTAGGATATCTAAAAGCTCTGAAGACTGTGATAGGCAGTTATGCTCCTCTGGCACAATGGAACTCTCAACAATAAGAGTAAAGCTCGTCAGTGCTGGAGACAGCATTTTCTCAGGGGGCTGTCGGAGACTGTGAAATGAACTCCAAGAACTAAAGGCCATCACAGACCTTACCCCATTCTGCTCCAAGTTCAAAGCACCTTTCTTTGATTTTTTTTTTTTGCCTTCTCTAACATAAATATTTAGCAACGTGTGTGTGTGTGTGTGTGTGTGTGTGTGTGTGTGTGTGTATATTTTAAAAAGAAAAACCACCCAAACAAGATAATCTACTGCACATTCTTCCTTTGGGGAGGATGAGAGAACAAACAACAAGTGAAACATCTGTAGTGACTTTGCTTAATGCACTGCTGGAAGGCTCTCCGATACAACGGTGATGTGTGGTATAAAAACCTGTATAGAATATAAGTACTCCCTTTCATGCTTTAAACTACTTTAAATGCCACTATTAATATAATTGTTGGCATCTGAGTTAGCACCCATTGTAATAAATGGGGCAGTCCTTACCTCTCAAGGCTGTTGTTTCAGGTTCTTTGCAAACTGCAGCAGATATCTTCAAGCAGATGCAGCTGTGTATTCCGCTTACCTGTGTGTGTGCCCAACTCACAGGAGCCAGATAATTTTGCCCAGTAGTACCTGTGGGAGGTGGTATACTTAATTCGTGTTTTGAATGTTTTATGTGCAGCCATATCAAACTTAAAATTACAGCTGAGACTCTCTGGAAAATATTTGAGGCCTGTGTAGCCCTTCATGCCCCACATGTCAGGAAATGCTGTCTCATGCCTAGATTTTCAGAAACGTGTGTAAACTTCAGCTCCTAAACCCATATTTAGGCACCTAAGTAACCTGCTTTCGATTAATGCTGAGCACCCAGCAGCTCCTATTGACTGCTAGATGCTCAGCACTCTCTAAAACCAGGCCACACTTTTCGGTGCCTAAATGTGGACTTAAACTTTATTCAGCTTTTGTCTTTAAAAATCTTTGCCTAAATGTGTATCTCTGCATCATGTACTGTATAGAGCTACCTCTGTGTTTTATAAAACTGATAAGCATTCTTAACATGAAAAGCATACAAATATTAATGTACATGTTTAGTGCTGCATACAAATGTTACTGTGTAAAATTAAGCTGTATTTTAGTCATGAGTGGCCAAAAAAAAGCCTAAATTACTATTTTCTGTTGGCTGCATCCTTCTGGAAGGGTCTTCAGAACTAAACTTGTGAGGGGAGAGAATGTGCAAATATTCAGCTTAGAGAAGAAGAGGTAGATGCTATGGGTGTTCATACGTAACTTTGATGTGGATGGGGAGCAGGGGCGGTTAATGCAGAGACAGCAGCTAAATTCCTACCAACAGTTATGGGTTTGAGAATCCCCATGACTCCTTTTTTCTATCATTTCTGTGATATGCAAATTGTCTTCCTTCATTTGAAGGAATTTGTCAGCACTCCAATTACAAGTAGCTTCTGCATCCAGTGGATGATATGGTCCCTAAGCCCCTGACTTAGTACTAACATACCTGAGGCTAGTAGGTCTAGTTCAAGTAGAAAACGCACCTTCTGCCCTGAGCCTTGGATTTGAGTCTCTCTGGCTTCGGATACATTCAGCAATACCATGTTCCATGGAGTCAAAGACTGTCACAGGGGATAGCTGCACATACTGCTTCATGTGGAAGTGTGCTCAGACCATACTGGGGAAAAGAGACCCCTCTGATTTCAAGTGATGCTGCCCTGCACTTCCTGCTGCAGGTTCCTTGCCTCATGTGACCTACAGCAAGGGACCTGCCTGGTCTTCCCTGAGGTGGCATTGCCCTGGTGCTGTGGAACCTGTGCTGATCAAATTTGTAGATGGCAGTAGCAAACACATGGAAAACCAGTACTAAACTCCAAAGTTGCCTGGAAAGAGTACTGGAGCTGTATTCAGCAAGAAAAAAAATTGATATGAACATGTAAGGACCTCCAACATGCGAGAGAAGAAATAAAAACCATGGATCCAAAATAGAGGGAACATACTCAAATAGTCTCAGTCCTTACATCGAGTCTCCCCTATCACTTTCCTAATATTTTATTATGATATAACGGAAGACAATAGTTACTGCAGGGAAGGTGTTGATTTGGAATGGGCACAGTGGCTGAGAAATAGAAGTCCCAGAGAAGACCTCTGTTTTGAGAAATGGTGCACAGGATGAAAAAGTTTGAGAAGTAGCAGTTTAAGGCAAATATACTTAAAATCTTAAATATTTTTGGCGTAGGGACTAGGAGTGGAGGAGATTGGGGCGGGCAGAGGTTGGAATGAAAGAGAAAGCAGCTACCTGCATGTTAAGAACTTAGCAGTCATAAATTGAAAGGAAAGGAAATGCAGAAAATATTTACTTAATTGTAATATTAATGAGGTTTAAAAAAATAAATCCCATGTTTCAACCTTTCTCAACTCCTTCCTTTGGGCTTCTCTTCACAAGGCAATTAGGTTACATTAGATGCAACCCTGAGGCGTTGTTGCAACCCAGTGTTAAATGCAACTTAGCACTCTGTGTAGGTAGCAAAGAGTCCTGTGGCACCTTATAGACTAACACGTATAGGACCATGAGCTTTCGTGGGTGAATACCCACTTCTTCGGATGCATGTAGTGGAAATTTCCAGAGGCAGGTAGTCTGTGTAGGTAGTCCGTTATATTTAACATGTCAGGAACCATAACTCGGTCATATTCTAACGCAATATAATTTCTCAGGCTAGACAAGACCTCTGACTAGCTAGTCCCTTAAGTAACTACTTCAGACTTACCAACATGCAACTAGGCTTGGCAGAATTAAATTTTTATTATAATGTTGACAGGTAATATCAATGTTTCTATTTAAGCATTTTTTCCATTTTTATTTAATTAAATTTTCAGTTACACAAAATTATGGGTTTTAAGCTTTTCCAATTTTTATAAATTTTAAATTTTCACCCTTGTGGGAAATTATAGGGGAGGCAGATAATCATTTAAGAACAGTAGATGTTGAGATTCAAGAAGTTAGCTTTCTAACCATTAAAACACTAATTTTCAACATCACATTCCAAAATGTACAAAGTGAATATCCTTAAATCAAACTAAGTTCTCAAGTAGCAT